GGCCCCTGCGCCCCAACGGCGCCGCGAGCAGCCGGGAGCCGGGCGAGAGGAGCCGGGAAACGAGCGGCCGGGAGCCGGGAAACGGCGGGAGCCGGGAAACGAGCAGCTGGGAGCCGGGAAACGAGCAGCTGGGAGCCAAGCTGTCCCCGGACCTGGGGCCGGCTCCCGGCGAGCGGTGGGGCGCCCCGGCTGACCCCACTTCCGTTTCCCCCCCTGAGGCAGGTGGCGGCTCGGGCCCTCCCCGAGCATGCTGTACCTGGTGGGGCTGGGCCTGGGGGATGCCAAGGACATCACGGTGAAGGGGCTGGAGGCGGTGCGGCGCTGCCGCAGGGTGTACCTGGAGGCCTACACGTCCGTGCTCACCGTGGGCAAGGAAGCGCTGGTAGGTCTGGCCACGAGGCCCGAGGCCTCTTGTGCCACGGAGCCGGGGCCGTGCTGGGGCTGGTGGGTCCGTGGGAGAAGTGTGTACGTGACTTTCACATACTGTGTTTTATAGGAGAAATTGTTTTGCTGCCATGCAAGAAGACTACAGCAAAAATAAAATGTTCCTTCCTACAACTGTTGGCACAAGTTTTCATCTCAAAACCTACCAATACGTGCAGACCTTGAGATACTGGAGGACTTGTTTAGGAAGTGTCTAATCTGTTTAAAAACAACAACAAAAAAAAAACAAACTCAAAAGTCATACCAGAAAAATACGTGCTTTGAAACCCTGCACCTCTGTATCAGCCGGAGGTGTTATGACATGCCTGCTGGGAATTACAATTTGATTATCTCACGTTTCCACGTGGGCCAAGCTGCCTCAGCATGTTGGGATTCCCCGAACAGGCACGGATCAGTCAGAGATGGGCTGTTGGACAACGTGGAGATAAAGTTTTCATTAGTAAACACACCTCACGGAAGACAAGGGTAGTAAAAATTTGCAAAACATAGCTCTGAGGAGTTCACAGATGGTCACAGAAGGATGAAGTTTAATGCTGCAATAATACCAAAAAATAGCATAGCTGCCCACAGACCAGAGATCTTGCCTCTGAATAAGCTGATGCTATCTGGGTCTTGAGTTCTGTATGCCCATAATGTACCTGTATGCAGATCAGCATATTCATAGAGTATGTGAGACTTTTACCTTGTAGTCAGCATTACGTGGTTTCCATCTACAAGGTAGGCTAGAATATTTGGAAAGAATTTCTGGCTTATCTGCTATATGAAGATATGCTCTGTGTTTTATGTCTCTTTTCAGTACACTGAAGCAGTCTAAATTGTAGTCAGTCCATTCAAAACAAAATGGTTTTTTTTGTGGTTTGATAATTGGAAAACTGCTAAATGGAAAGGATTACTTAGAGATTTTTACTTTTCAAAACAAGCATTTGTTATCAAAAGAAAAATTAATGGATTCCTATCTGTCTGAAAATAAAACACTGAATAATAGGAAAATGCTGATGATTTTTGATGTGGTTATTTTGGGTTTTTTTGTCATATATTTCTTACTGTTTTAAGGCTTTTGCAAACCTTGAGATGCCAAAGATAAGATGACTGGGGAAAAAAGATCAATAAAAACAAAGTAAAAAAGTTGTCTTACCTGAAACACTTAAAGTCCCAAGAGGGACTTTAGGAGTTAATAACCAAGTGTTTATAATACAGCCTGGTTTACATACAAGTGACAATGCTGAATAGTTTATTTACTAATCTGAAGGTCAGTCTCTCCTAAGCACCACAAAAAGTTAGATGAAAACTCTCAAGTAGTAAAGAGCAGATATTTGTCTGCAGAGACTTTCCAGATATCCTCCTGTGTTGGTGGTATTAAAATCAGGCTATAAAAGTCAAATGACAAGACTTGCTTGTTTATTGGGTTGGCCTAAAATATTTATTAAAAGTTATTTGATGTTGACCACCCAAATCCTCTCTGAGTTTGGTGAAAGAGCTTTTTGGATGCAGTGAGCTCCCAGTGAATCTACATTTTACTTTCTGTATATTCTCTGCTTAGCATGCTGTGATTAGCGTTGTGGAGCAGTCTCAAAGCATGCAAATAGATTCCCTTGGATGAAGCCAAACTGAAAGGTGTGTTCCTGAGACTGCACCCAATCTGTTCTGGAGTGTGCATTGCTCACAGTGTTGGGCCAAAGCCAGCCTGGTGCGATGGCAGCCCACGGAAAGGGATGTGTGGTGTTGTTATGGAGTGCTCTGCTTTACAGACTAGCTCCCCTTGTGCTGATGTGCATCTGGGCTGAGGTACCTAATGAAAACCAGTGGGGTGTCAAAATTTGCTATAGTTGGTTTAGTACAGATCTCAGCATTACTGCAGGGTGACCATCAGTGGTTCCAAATCACAGATGCAAGATTTGTTTACACATTTATTTGGTCCCATCTCTGTTGAATCTGTACAAGTTACAGTCTGTTTCATGAGGAAAATAATATCCTGATTTTATAGAGTTAGGAAAACCTACCCAAAAGTGGGCAGGAATTCATATTCAGGTAAGTGAATGTAACCTGGTAACAGAGGTCCCATACCTATTACTCTCACTATGGGATGGATGTTTTTATGGAAGCACCACTCTGCTTCTGTACAGGTGTGATAGTTCCTCCATCAATTCACTGTTCTGTGTGGGCAAAGTCACAGAAGTCAGAGGAAGACCTTTCTGGGTGATAACTGACTTTAATAGTTTTATCAATCTATTGATATTCATAATACCACACAAATTTGCTGACTACTACTTAGAACAAAAATACCTCTCTTGGTCTTTGCCCTGGAAAAAAAATTTAATCATGTAAAGAGTGTGTAAAATGCATGGTGACACAACATGGCAGATATTTTCAGTATGATCAGAAAATATGTTCTAGAACTAACTGAAGTTTCATATACAAGTGTGAAGTTCATGCTGGAAATAAAGGCATTTAAAATGTACAAAGAGACACAATGATTACTGAGCTGCTGAAGAAAAATTAAGGACATGATCAAATGCATGTTTACCTGTATACTTTGTAAAGTACTTCTTAAAGAGAGTTCAAGATGAAGGATTATTATGAAGTCATTCCTTAGATGTGGTTAGCTAAAATGTACTAAGGAAAAATCTGAGAGAACAGGTTGTGGTGTAGCTAGTGTGGTATTTGTATGTGGTTTGGTGCCAGTATTGTTGGTAGCCTAAGCACTAGGCTCGGGCTGTGAGAGGGGATGCCTTACAGCAGCAGGTTAAATTAACTCTGCACGGAGTCCACCCAGGTACCTTCAGCGTGACTGAGCTGCTTTAGGTGCAGCTCCTCAACTGACACAGAAAGCATGGAAAATCAAGTTGGTTTCAGGATAAAGTTCACATTCACTAATTTTTTGTCAGCTCAGGAGCTGCTTTATGGGAAGCTCAGGTGTTCTTGCAAGCAGAGGTGAGGTTCACCAAGACATGGGGCAGGTTGCTGGGGAGAACAATGAAGTTACCTATTCCAGTGTCCATTGGCTGTGCTCGTGAGTGGGCACTCAGAGAGATACAAAAACATTCCGAAGTGTCTTATTTTGATGTTTGTTATTAATTTCAATTTCTAGGAAGAGTTTTATGGAAAAGAATTGATTTTGGCTGACCGAGAAATGGTGGAACAAGAAGCAGATAGCCTTTTAAAAGAAGCTGATGTTTGTGATGTTGCATTTCTTGTGGTTGGTGATCCTTTTGGGTAAGACAGAGCAACATTTTAATAATTGCTGTAGCTTCATCACTTTTTTCAATAGGAAGAAGCCATCTCTGTAACTCTAATTCTTTATGAGGAAACTGATTTTCAGACCAGAAACCCTTTTTATGTCTGTATATTCCTTATTGTATTAAAAATATATGTGCAGTTGTCTATCTTGCTTTGGAGTTTCCTTTCCCAGATGTCCGTTATAGATAGGAATGTGGACCCTCCAGGATGTGTGAATCTTTCCTTCAGCAGATACTTATAATTTCATTCATTATCATTTTATTCTCTGTGCTACCTTTTATAACAAATACTTTGCCTCATTATCTGTCTTCTAACAGAAGAAATTCTAGGTTATGACATAAATAAGAAATGTGCTGTTTTGGGGGAATATTCTTATAACCGAACTTATAAACTTGAGCTTTTATACTCCGTTGTTTTAGAATCAATACAGATTATTGGTTGTATTGTCTGCTTTAATATATGCTAGTTTTTAAAATCACTTATGTCATTATAAATGTCTTCTCATGTTGGTTTATTAGGCCTTTTGTTTCCACTTTTTATTCCTGCTGGAAAGTATAGTCTTTTTCTATGACCAGAAGGATCTCCTTCTGTCTCTTTGGTCAGGTATCATCAATCTGTAGTGTCAAGCCATGCAGAAGAGCTTTTCATCTCCAGCTGGTGATGCAGGATTTATATCACAGTATCAAGGGGCACAAGAAAAATGAAATCTGAGCACCTTATTTGTGAGGGGGAAAATGGAGTTTATGTAAAAGGAGCAATGTGCACATCTGTCAAAAGCAGATAATTTGTGTAAATACAGGTTGAAGGCAATTGGCAAGAGAATATTATATTATTATTAATTATTATATCATTATATTATTAATTATGGGCAGATGACCCTGTATTTCAGAAATGTTAGTAATACTTGCAGTCCATGTTTACATTAAAACTAGGATTTGTGCAGAGTGTAGAGCCACATTACCTGGACCCTTGTGCTCTGATCCATGACTGATACGAGCATTCAAGATGAAAAATACAAACTACATGGATTGAAATGTAGCTGCTACTTGTAAGCAGTACTCTGACCTGTCTCATTATCATTAGTTTCAATGTCCAAATACTTCAGTTATGGTTAACATACTACATAATTGTTAAAAACTACCTTTTTTTTTTTTAATGAGTTGCTTCTCTATAAATGTTCATGTTCTTAGCTCTTGCTGTCACAGCTAGAACTGCTCCTATGTTCACATAGAACCCTAAGGATTTAGGGAGTTGTGAGGTTACTAGGATAGAGTACTGAATGTTTCTGTCCTAAGAGAGGCCAGAGGGGAAGAGGATAGAAGCCCCTTGCAGCTGATCACAGAGTTCCAAGTATATTTGCAGGAGAGCAGAGTACTTGGGAGCCACAGGAGATGCCAGGCGTTGGTGGTTAGTGGTTAAAGCAATAAAGCAGGCTGTGCCCTGTCATCCTCACTGTTGTTCTCTGCAAGTTTTTATCTGTGTATGTGATAACACCCATGGATGTGCTCCAAGAGTGAGACAACTTGAGTAGTACAGTGGAAAGCCCACCACTCTAGGCTGGTGTTAACATTCATATTATTACTACCCATCAAACTTAACATCTGTATTAGTGACAGAAAATACTGCTGTGGTTTTAGCTGTGGAGGGATGACTTCATGAAACTTTTCCTGGTGTTGGAACTGAGTGCTCATAAGGGCACTTCTGCCTTTAGCTACATTCATTATAGGCAGATCTACTGGGAGAAAAAAAATGCTGTCTGGAGCAAATTTCAATGAATAAAGCCAGCTGATGCCTTGGTCATTATTAGCATAACCACAAAATCCTCCAGTGCTCCTTGTCCTTGGTATGTGCAGGCAATAACACAAGGTTGTAAAACCAGTCTCCTCTTCTCTTAGAGAAGACATTCTTACATCACTTTTGCTTCTAGAAGTCAGGAACAATGTTTGTGTAGTAACTAAGGTATTGGTTCAGATCACTTTACTGGCTTCTCCTAGGTTTGGGAGCCTGTTCGTGTAAGGGTTTCAGATTTCCCAAGTTCAAATTCCTTTTTTTTTGTTCCTCCACTGAAATTGAGTTCTTTTTTTCAGTATTGATCTTTACAGCCTTGCCAGCTGCTGCCACATTTGTGTTCCAGTCTGATGCACCTGATCTGCTGACTGGGTGCTGGTCAGACACACAGCACCAAAATTATCAGGCTAAAACCAGGGGAATTCTGTTAGGGTAACTGAACAAGGCCGGGGTGAAAGCAATGTTCCTAGTTCATTGTTCTGATGGCCATATGTTATTTCTTTCCTTCCTTCCTTGGAATGGCTACATAAAGTGTGTGGTACATCTTGGGAATGAGATGTCTAAGGTCATTGATCAGGTTTGATAAATTTAGGCAAGGGGTAGGTGCATTTTCATATTTCACATACATACAAGCAAAATACATATGTTAACATTGTTGCAGTTCAAAGATTTGCTCAATCTGTATATACTGACCGTTTTAGAAAGGCACTATCTCAACTGCTGAACTGCAAACCCAGTAATTCTTGCAGCAGTTAATCACTGCAAGGTGTTTCTTGAGCCTTAGACCTGGAGCTGAACTTAGCTCTGTTTGAAACAACAGTATTTTAACTTTCAGAATAAACTTCATCACTCAGATTTAGGCATTGTTAATTTGAGTAATCTGGATTAAATATGAAAATTGATTCAGTCTAAGGATGTTTTTTCTAAGTAAACATGCAGTTCACCTCTGTCTGTTCAGAGTTCTTGTCTGAGCATGGAGCTTTCCTGGCACACACTGGTGCAGATGGGAGAGGGCCTGGCTGTGCAGTCAGTAATGTGAAATCCTGGAGTTTTGTGGAAGTTTGTGCCAGAGTTGACATTTTACAGTTCAACGGGTGTTCTACAGGCACCCGCAGAAGACAAAGGATACATGGAACTTTCCTTTTCAAGTACTTGCCAAGGCTACTTTATAAAGTAACAGTTGTAAAAGTGTTACAGTTTTAATGATGCCAGAAAGTTGCAAAGAGCTGTACCATACTGAGGATGCCTGGCATTTCATCTGTGGCAGATGACATATGGAAGCCTTACTGGAGTTTTTATTTTCCTGTAACCAATAGGATATTGTTGCCATTTTGCCACCTCTGCATTGTCCTTGTTGTGAAGAGTTTAATTTTATTTCAAAACAAACTACAATGGTAGTAACACTTGGTAACATCATGTTTTCAATGTTTAATTCCTTCCTTTTCTTACCACAGGGCCACAACACACAGTGATTTAGTGCTACGTGCAGTAAAATTGGGGATTCCTTACAAGGTCATTCATAATGCTTCAATAATGAATGCAGTGGGCTGCTGTGGTTTACAGGTAATATTTTTCTATATGCATATATATTATTTCACAGCTGCTAAGCTTAGAATTGGTGAGCTCCTTCTACTGCTGTGGCAGTGCATGTTGCAATCCCAGTTTTGAAGATCTGTACCAACTGTACACTTAATGTTAGAAATTTTTAACACTTCCTTTTAGCATGCCACATGTCAGCAAAAGCCCCTTTCAGTGAGCTCACATGAAAATTAATAGTAGCAGTTCTGTTCTGCTCTGCTTTCTAACTTCCCTCTGCCCCCAGGAGGCTTTGGTATTTAAAGTTATTTTACAGATAAAGCTTTGCTCATGTTTGCTTCCTTCTACCACCAATGGTAGCATCAGGTATCAGGTAATACCTGATAAGTTTATTTTTAAATAAGGTTGTTATCCTGTAAAGAATTATGCTGATCTTGTCATATAAGAAATACATGCACAAACCTGCATATATGTCCAATTTAGATCATAACTAATTCCAAAGAATATGATGCACTCTTTCTCTAATAAATTTGATGTGTCTCCACTTTTCTGCCCATCTGATGAGGGAGGAGGGATTTGCCTAGCCAAGGACTAATAAAACAAATGACAGTTTTTGTGCATCTTGAATGACTGAAGTAGAAAAGGTCTAGTGATCCCCAAGAAAGTATTTCCTTTTACACACGTATAGCTCCATTACTACTTTTACTGCATGAAAGATACTGTGGCAGTGTTTAAATCATAACTAATCACATATAAATTAGATGAAGCTTCCCCCTCTTGTTTTTATTCATCACTTTAACATAGAACCTGCCCTCTCAAGGTTTAGAATGGTTCCCTGTGTATGGGACCCCTAAGCCAAGTTCCCACTTTACAAAAGCCCAAAGCAAGCACAGGAACGTAAATGTACTACAGACAAGTTGGGGGTCTTTCCATCACCAGGAAGGAGGAATTCCTTCCTAACAGTACACAAAAGAACACAATTTATTTTAATTTCAGCAAACACCTGGTACCTTCAAATTTCCACTGACTAACTCCAGTACTCCAAACTACATTCAAATAATAATGCTGGCCAACAGCAGAAAATTTATTGCTATAAGTTTGGGTATTATCTTTGGTTTTGATTAGTTTGATTAATTTGCCCTGTCTGACCTGTCCCATTAGCTAATGCTAAAGGGAATGCTGCACAGCATTCACACTCTTAATAATTCTTCTTGTGAGTACTTTCTTAGTGATACCTGCCTATTGCTGCAAGACTTGGGCAAAATTATCATTTAGGAAGGAAATAAGCTTCTTGGTGTCTAAAATCTACAGACAGAGAGCAGCTGCCACATGACTGCACTTACTGGGGTGGGTATAACAAGAGTTGTGGCTGGGGCTCACCCTTCCCCTTTTGTCTTGATGGTGGTGCAGTTTGCTTCTGTTGTCAGGCTGTTGACAAGCAGCTTCTACTACTTGCTCTCTTTTTTACTGTTCTCTTACATTCATTAGGAAGGAAGATGCAAGGCCCAAAGAGTTTTTTAAGTTTTCTGAAGTTTTCTTCCCCCACAATTCAGCCAGGCATGGGAAGGAGGAGTATAGAGCTTTTAGGTTAATTAAAAAAAATAGACCAGAAACCTAATGTGAGTATACTATAAACAGTCCCTAAGGTTATTCACATATGCAGAGTTTTTGAGATTAGATTGCTATTTCCTTATCCCATGCTGAAGGGAGCAGACCATAAAGGAAATGGGATGTTATTCAGTCTGGCATTAGTCCCCTTTTCCATTCTGGCTTGGGAGGGGCTGCCTTCTCCTAAGTCAACATTCCTGTTGTCGTATAAGGCATTTTAGGAAATAATGATTGTATTGCCAGGCAGAATGTAATCAGTTGTATGTTTAACTCTTGATTGCTCCTTACTGGCATAAACAGCAAGTGAGGTGTATCTCACAAAAAACCAGCCTTTGATTAACTAGAGTTGTGTTGAAAGTTTATAATTTCATTCAAAAGCCTTTAAGTTCATGGCTTTCTACTTCCATTGGTTTACTTTTGGAGTTATTGTGTCTCAAATTGTAAAGTTCCTGTCAAGTATAGGAGGGATTCCTCTTTTGCTTCACCACAGAAAAGGCTTTGCTTTTTTTCTTGTTCTAATCTGATTGTAATACAAACCCTCTCTCCTTTTTAGTAGAGAAAAACAGGAAACACCTTTATGCGCCGTTCAGAGAGCCATGTGCGTAGTGAGCTGTAACTGCTGATTAGGCCATCAGTGAAATGCAGCTACAGCACAGTCTGGTCACAAAAGAATGTCTCTGGTCATCAGAGCAATGTTTCTGTGCAGCCAACAACATTCTGGTACTGTGCAGTTTTCCTGTACAGTGATTCAGTGAAGAGCATCAGTGATGGTTTGTTACCTTTCAATAGCTGTAGTTTTTGCCAAATAATAAAGAGGGGTGCATATCTATTTTCAAATACTTTTTTTTTTTTTTTTTGTCTTGCTCATGTAACAGAATTAGTGAAGCTGTTTCGGAATACTGAAGAAAAGAGTGGGGTTTTAATTTTGAAAATTAAACTTCTTGGAAGTTTTGACAGATTGATAAACTGTGCTGGGATAGTGTAACTCAGCAAACTGGTAGTCTGACTGCACATAAGGCTCTGTGATTTTCTGTGCCTCCCTCTTCTATATTGTTTTTGCTGTGCTTCACTGTACCAGATTTTTTCTTTCTGAGGCTGAAGAAGCTATTTTCCCTTAAAAAACAAATAAATCTGGTTATGGGAAAGAAACCAAGAAAAGTGCTCCTATGTCAGTGCCTCCTAGCATGTTCTCTGCAGGTTCACCCCCTTGTCTGGAGTTCGCTACGTGGGTGTGTTTGTCACTCTGACTTCTGTTGTAGTGGTGAACAACCAGGCACTTGTGGTGGAGGATAGTCAGGCACTTTGGTATCTGCACACACTGCCAAAGAAGCACAGGCTTTACCTGTGCCCACTCTCAGCTTTTCAGAATAGGGCTGATTGCTAAGGTTTTTGAGGCCTAGAATAAAGATGCAGGAAACTGAGGATCTCTAGTTTGCATATTTCTCCTTCCTTTCTAATCTGCATGACATCTGGGTTGGTCTGGGGAGGTCGCTGGGCAGAGTGGTACTCTCAGGACAAAATTCTCTGACCCAGTGCTGGTAATGTATCCTTGAGGTAGAACTATTGGTGGTCAAACACATCTGGAAGATTCTGCATCATGCTGACCTGTGGTGCATGTGGAGGAATGATGCACCTTGAAATGGCTTGAGATCATGACATTAACATAAAGAAAGAGGATTGAGAACTGAAGTGGAAAGCTGGAGGCAAGTCACAGGATGAGATAAAAGGCTAAAATGAGACGCTCCTTTCTGAGTGTTTCTGATGTTGCTTGTTTTGAAAGCCTTTGGTTGGGTAGCTAGGAAAAAAACATGTTCTAGCAGAGAGTTGCCTTTCTTTTGAGATGTACCCACTTTCCACCTGAATAGCTTCAGAACAAACATCTGCATGTGCCCTTGTTTCTTTCAGTGACGCATCTCAGGTTTTTTGTTTGCAGTCCACTTAATTCTTGTAAGACAATTACAGTTAGAAAATAGCCTTTTTGCTAGCAGCTGATCACTTAAATGCAAAGTCAATGCTTACTGTTTTATTTTTGAGTTTTCACTGAACAGGTGAGTACATTTCCAGTGTCAAGTTAAAAAAATACTACTTAAAGATGAAGAAGCTGAAGAATGCTATCATTAATTACTGTGCTCACAGTCAAATAGAAACCCTGTAGTAGCTGCAAGAGTGGAGTCCCACCCTTGGTGTGCCTTCATCTTTAAAAACACTCTTTGCTCTAACAGGAGAGACTTTACACAAAATGACTGACTGTTAAACTGTTTTCCATCACTGATTTTTTTTTCAGTTACTACCAGCTTCTGAGCCTTTAAGAAGTTGGCATTTGTGTCTCAAGCCAATTAAATGTTAGATCAGTGCTAGTCACACTACTTCATTACTCACAATTGCTGTCCAGCTTAGTGCCATTTGTCACCAGCAAACATGGCCCAGAAACATCTGTTTCATCAGGTTTGGGGGTTTCTTTTCTTTTAGATATTTTAATTTCATATTAGTAACCTTAGTCACCTTCAGGGCAGGAAGGAAATATTGCTTGATATTAATGGAAAGAATCTTAGAAGGTTTTTAAAGATAAAGTGACATTACCTTGGGGGGGCGAATCCTCTCCTATTCAAGTTTATTTTCTCAGTATTTTGATAGCTGAATTTTGTTCTGCTTGTGGAGTGGCTATTTCCCAAGCAGATCCAAGAAGCAGCCAAAGCAAAATGTTCTTGTCCCTCCAACTGATTTTATGTGATTTGTCTCAGCTGCCTTCTAAAGACTGCAATTATGTGGAGTGGATTTCCCTCCAAATGTGTTTTCTTCACAGCTCCTTTCTCTCTGGGGTTACTAAGGGGACTGGAAGTTTTTGGGACAGCTGGGGCAATCTCTTGGCTTGCAGTACAAAAAGGAGACAAAGGCACATATATGTGAATGGTAAAACATTTCAGTTTCATGTGAAGTTCAGTTCTCATGAGAGGCATCTGAAGTTGCTAAAGGTCTGTGGTGCTAAATAAGGTAGTGTAAAGGGCTAGAGCTAGGCTTGTGGTTGTTTCATATGACCAATTCCAAGCAAAAAAAAAGTTTGAGTGATTCTTGCTGCTTCTTTGTTGACAATTGTTCTACTTCTTAAGCTGCTATCAAGTAACAATAGATAGTACAAAAAACAGTAGGAGCCCTTTAATTTGATGTATATGGTCTGGAGGGCTGTTAACAGGTTAGGCAGAATAAAGGGAAAAACCTAATTCAGGTTCCTTATCTTTGAGGATGAACATTGCATAGCATTATATCAGAAACCCTATGACAAAGATAATCTGTCTTAGTTTTTCTGGGTGTGCTCATTGAGATCTATCAGGAAGTAACCTGGATAATGCAAGGTGCTCTGCAGTCTTTAAATCCATTGAGGAATAGTCTTAGGAGAAAAAGCCTCTTAGTTCGTACCAGTGGGTTGTGATTAGTCTGAGAAGAATCTGAATTTCCATAATTCACCTGTGCTGTGAGAACTATCTGCAATGTAATCTGTGACCGGAACATAGCTCCATAGCATTTCAGCCCTACAGGGTCTCAGGTATTTGGCTGTATAGGGTGGCAGGTCTGAAGAATGCAATAACTCATTTTTTTTTGGGTAGAACCCCAGATATGTGACCAGTTCTGAAGCTATTTGAAATGTTAGGAAAGGAGGGAGGTTAATAAGTGAAAAATTGCTGTGTCACCATTGAAGCTGATACAGCAATAATTCTGGGAAAGATGCTGTAAAAATAGATGTCTGTGTTTTGAAATGTTTACTTCTTGGTTTCTCTGCAGCTGTTGGCCAACTGACCTTTAATATTATTTTGCATCTTCTCTCCTGCTTGCTTTAGTACTTTTTAGAGAGGATGGTGGATCTTCCTTTTTTAATTTCCCTATTTAGTCTCAGTTTGTTCCGTCTTCTATGCTCTAAATTTTTGTGGTGATTGACCACACCACTATTTCAAGTAAGGACAATTGATCAGGACAGTTTCAGGTATCTGATATCATTCAGACCAGTCTTTAACAAAGTAACTCAGCAGTTTCATTGAAATTCCACTTGCATGAAGACTTTCCAAGGTGAGATCATGGTACAGCACTTTCACAGTTCATTCTGGCCTCTCAATTTGCAATCAATTCTGCTTGCATAAACAAGAAGTAAATAAGAAATGGCATTAATAGAAGGGTTAAACTACTATCAGAAAACAAGCACCAAAAGTTGTCGATCATTCTTTCATGTCAATAAAATAGGAAGTTACATCTTGTTCTGAGGTGATGTAACTATGAGTTGAAGAAGAGCTTTCTGCAGTATTTTGTGAGCAAAATAGCAGCAGGGCATTGCCTCAGAGTAGAGTTCTGGGTTCCTTTGCTGACCTGAGCTATTGCATTGCAAAATTTGAGTGCACAAAGTTTTACTTAAGCCAGTTACTACTTGAGCGGAGGGTGTGGAGAAAGGGGTATTTCCAAAGACTAAGGTCTTTCAAAATGACCTTTTGAAACTTTTGTGAAGTTTTTGAGCATTGAGGAGAAGGTAAGAAGTTTGGTTTCAAGCTGAAAACACAAAATATTTGTCCAACCATTTCACTGCGCCCCTTTGAAATTCTGGCACTTTTGTGCCTGAGCAGAATGTAGGCACTCGAACAGATCTGCTCATCAGTGCAAGTGTGATGCCTGAGATGTTTGGGCTTGTACAGAACACACATTGCCCGCTCCTAAACATGCTTCATGTAGAGTGCAGCACACACAAGTTGGCTGTGAAATTTCATTTGCTCTTGCCTCTCTTTAGAGCTGTGCCAGCCACTGTACAGCCTGATCCTGTCTCTGCAAATATGCACAGCTCATCATCTTACTGAACTCGTGAACAGTCTCAAAGCATGGCAGTAATCCTTAGTTGTGTTGTAACACTCCTTGGTTAACAAACATGTCAGACAGTTCTATTTCAGTGAAAAGAATGATTCCTGGAATTTTGGGGACCCTCTGCAGCCTTCTATGGTGGGTGGAAAAAATGCTTTTTCATTTCAGTGGGTTTTGTCTTTAGAGGACCTGCTGTCTTCTGTATCCTTAGGATAGCAGTGCAATTTTTGGCATTTACTGCTCTCTCTGCCACAGGGCTTTTCTTGAAAGTCAGATACTTCATGCACAAGTTCAAGAGGTGGAAATTAGAACACAGCAGAGGAAACTAAATTAGGAACAAATTGAATTCTGCATGGATACAGGGAGAGTGTTTTAAGTGTAAGTTCTGATACAGTCATGAGTTCCTTCTTTAATGTAGGCTTGCCCTGGTGAAGAGCAGTTCCTTTGTTTGCTTAAATGTCACACACCTGCAGAGATCAAATACTGGATGAGAAAGAAATATTGGTTTGTGTCTGTAGAAGTGTTTGAAAGGTAATTGGTTATGAGTATTCAAGCAAAATAGAGATATCCACTTACTGCTTCAGTTCCTCAGCATTCAGATTGATGGTGTACCAGGGACTTTCCAAAGTAGTATTCCCCCCTCTATAATTTAAAGTAAAAACAGGTGTGCATTAATCCTAGGAAATCTGTTCTTCACAAGTTTAGTTAGTAGAGGGGTGTAAACTGCAAAAGCATTTCTAGGAGGTTAATAAAATATGTCCCACTTTATCTTATTAGTGAAGAAACTACTTCTGTGCTTTCCAGGTGCTGAGAAAACAGGTGTATTTTTTTGAGACTAAGTATAGTTTTCTACTATGTCAGTACTTCATGAAGGTGTTCTGAAGGTGTTTCTACTAAAGAGACAGGCAACAAAAATGTTTTACTCTTTTTTGACATCCAGGCTTCAGTATTAATGCAAAACCCAGTAAACAAAGGACAGATTAGTGAATGACTGGATAACTTGTTTAATTTCTTGTTGGCAAAGAGGATGGAGAATCTTTGTAATGGGTAATGGAAAAGAGAACACTTGGAACAAGCACTGTAGGCTATAAAGTTGAATGTCCAACTCATTCTTAACAGAATGAGGCAGAGTAGTTTAGGAGTTCTGATTCCCAACAAAATACCTCTCAGATAATAACATTTTTCCCATTTCTGCACATCCTTTCCGTTCCTAAAGGGCAGAGGTGGAAGTTTTTCTGCCTTGGGTTATCAAAATGCCAAAGGGACAAGGTAAGATTTAAGGTTAATTGAGGGCACTTTCTGTCCTGAACAAGGACTGCAGCTTTAGGGAGGTGGCTGCAGTGGTTGCAGGTGCTGATGGCAAGCACTTATGTTGGTATCAGACATTGCAGCACTAGTGAAAGATTGCAGGAATGCTAGGAATGCTACCAGGGAAATTAAAGGTATCTTGCTCCCAGATGCTGTAACAGTGAAGGGGAGAAACTTCTTGTACTACTAGTTTTCAAGATTTGGTACAAAATGGGAATGAGTTCTAGGCAGCCACATGAAAAATAGGCAAAGCATAGTTTTTTGGGTTTTTTTTCATTTTCTAGAACACAGCCTTGAAATAGCTAACAAGTTGCATCAGGAGCAACTTATTTGGTTCAACCTGTATTTACTTTACTGGAAGAACCTTTAGGTTGTGAAATGTACACAGTATGTTCTTGTCCTTGTGCTAGAATGAAATACTTAAAAAGAGGAAATGTTTTCAGTTTTATTCCAGGAATCTTCGAATAAATTTTATCAGCATGAATGGTTAAAATTTGAGCTTTTAAAAATAAACATGTTTCTGCTGTGATTCAAGTTCTGCTGTACCAGCATAAAGGAGTTAAAGCCACAGCCTAATGCCACAGTAAGAGAAGTATGTATAGGGGAATCCCCACATGGCACAGGGCTGCCAGAGCTGCTTCTATGCAGGGTCCTCTGCCAAAGCACACACAGTGCCTTTGTCTCCTGCTCTGGGCTTGGAAAAGCAGCTTTTCCTTCCAGGAGTACAGAGAAAGTGGGAAGGGTATTCCATGTAGCTGTTGTTTCTCTGGTGGGCTTGAGCAGACAGAATATTTGCAAGCTGTAAAATCCATCTGGGGTGGCCCCATTCCAGAGCTAAATAGACCAAAACTGATGGATGGTTTTCCCCTATTTCATGGCAAAAACTGCTTCCAAGCCAAATACTGCTTTAACTTTTCTTACAACTTTCACTTTTGCATCACCAGAGATGACTGGCAAGACTATTGCTTCAAATGGCTTCACCAAGATGAGGGACTTAGGGTAATGAATGTCTTAAGAGTGAGAACAGAGACAGTGAGTATGCTTGACATAGGATCTGCTAGGAGTGTTCTGCTAGCAATATTCCTACCATATGTGCATAAACCATGTTGTACCTCTCTGCTTCCTGCACAATCTGTCTTCAGATCTTCATATCCACTGTCTCCTTCTCCTGACTGTAACTTCTTTTGTCTGCTAGAGCTTCCATCTGCAGCAAAATGCCATTTTAATATAAACACTACTGTATCTGTAGAACCAAAACATCGAATTATGGCATTATTCAAAACTGTCTAACCTTAAGCAAAGTAAGAAATAAAAACCCCTTAACCAAAGTAAGAAATAACAAATAATAATTTTGGTGTTAATCTTACAAAGTTTTTACCTTTAAAAGGACTTCAGAATTAAGTAACAATAGAAAGTATATTAAAAGTTACTAATTATGCATTGGAAAGGTGAATGCAGTAAAAACTTTACAGGTAGTTCATGGCTTGGTCTTTAACATTTTTGCATGTTCTTATTTTTTCTTATTGCACATGTGTGTTACTGCATTTGCTCTGTTTTACAGTTGTACAATTTTGGAGAAACGGTTTCCATAGTGTTCTGGACAGATACATGGAAGCCAGAGAGCTTCTTTGACAAGATTGAGAAGAACCGTCAGAATGGAATGCACACTCTGTGCTTACTCGGTGAGCAGCAGCCACTCTCCTGCCTTTTAGTCTATGTATTGAGTGTTTACCCAGCTGACTCAATCACCAGATAAGCAAATGTAATATTAAAAAGGTTAGTGCTGATAAACTTTTGAACTGAAAGTGACTTCATGGATGTAGAAGCAATTTGGTAAACTGGGCACTTACAATCTTGGAGTTTTGCATTTTAACCTTTTTCATCTGGGTCACTTTGGTTTAGAAGTTGATTATGCAACAAGGAATGCTTATTCACAGTTAAAAATGTATCCAGCTTTCAGTATGATAATTTGGGGGGGGCATTTGAGCACAGGTAACATTTGCATTCCTCTTAGAAAGATTATGGTCAACTTGTTTCATAAAATTGCAGCTGTTCAGTCTTACCTACCTGACCTCTTCTCTATTTCAGTTTTGCCCAAATCCTTTTTTTTCCCATAACAGAAGCTTGTTCTAAATCTTGGTTGGGACAGTAAGGAAGTGCTAACGAAAGTCAGGTTCCTGCATAGCAGTGATGTAATCACTGTCGAGCAGTCAAACTGTTCTACCTTCTGTGACATAATGTGCTCATAATTTAAGAGTAGACCCAATGAACTGGTGTGCTTAAATGTGCTAGTATTTAACTATCTTATGGTAAATATGCCTATTTGTATATTTACCAGGACTTTTATTTGGCTGTGTTGCTCTGAAATCTGTGAAATTAGTCCTATTGTTGGGTAAAACCATGTGCATAAAGTCACAGGATTTTGTGATTAACTAACAGATGAAACAGTACAGTGTGATTCATATTCTAATAGCTAAATATAATAATATTATAATAGCTAAAATGTTGTTAAAACTTTAACTACATAGAAAACTAAGTGGGAAGCTTGTAGGGAACCTGTGTTTTAATGTGTTTTGTTCTACAGATATTAAAGTGAAGGAGCAGTCTCTGGAGAATCTCATGAAGTGAGTCACCATTTTGAAAATACATAGAAATACACAGTGCCCCTATAAAGGTTTTTTTGTACAAGGAACAAAGGTTCTTTGCCCATAGTCTAATACTGAACTTACCTGTCTTTTCCTCTAGCGCTTCTCAATGGCCACTGTCTTTTGTTTCTTACAAGGGGTAAAACTCTTGTTCCTTGCAATAGGGCCTGGCTTTATTTACAGTAACTGAATTGAGTTGCAGCAGAACAATCTTTTCTGTAACTGTTCCTGTGAGAAGCACTAAGTCAGAAAGGGGTAGGTGAGTGAAAGTGTTATTTCTCTACTGTTCTGTCACCTCCTGAAACATTAATATCTGAAAAAGTGTTCTAAATTTATTCTTCCGTAAGCTGGCTGGAACAGTGCAAAGTGCAGAATATATAACACCCTTCTTAAAGAGTTAAATAAGCAATATACAGAAAATGCTCTTATGCCTGTTTAACTGTATTCAAAAAGCTTTTGCCACATCTTACTCATCTCTGCAATCTGTATGGTTTGACAGTGGTGAATATAAATGGTTCCTTTATACACATGCTGTAACTGGTCTAAATTAACATTTGTGAAGTCTCACAGTATCATTGAGGTTTGTTTATTCTGGAGTTTCAAAATAAAATCTGTTTTACTGAATCCACAGTTGGCAAAGAAAGCAGCATTTCATTTAAGAATATATTTCTAGTCTATAATCATCTGTCTACAGGGCATTTAACAGAAAAACAGTTGTATGCCTTTGGATTTAAGTCTAATACAGCCCTCAAGAGTATCTGCAAAACCTGCATCTTGCTTCTAGCAGCTGAATTTGCTTTTAGGCTCTGAATGATATGGCAGCTGGAGCCCAGCTGTTTCACAGGTGTGGTGAGATTTCTGTATTCTTTAAAAATTCTACTCTTGTCTAAAAGACCCAAACTGAGAGCCTGGGCCTGTTTAAGTTCAACCTGCTGGTCTAGAGATCTCTTGAAATAAGCTGTAAGATTTCTGGGGATAAGAAAATGGGTTATATGTGAAATTTCTCTGTTTTCCTTCCCTGCAGAGGAAGAAAGATTTATGAGCCACCGCGCTACATGAGCGTCAATCAAGCTGCAGAACAGCTCCTTGCCATTATTCAAAACAGAAGGCTCCAAGGACTAAAACCAGGTATGACTGCACTGCTTCTGTCTGCTACCACCCCTCTCCAGTCACATCTCTTGATGAGCCTCTGAACCCCATTCCCTTCCTCTGACTCCCAGAATTCTGCTCTGCAGAGGATTTGGGCTGTCTTAAAGCCTAGTCACGAGGTGGATTTGGCCAAGCTTGAGCACAGCACAGTTCAGTGAGCATCAATGAAGGTGCATTGGTGGCCCCAGTCAAAGCCTCAGTCAGGAAACCCTGCACTGTTTCTATCCATGTGGAGCTGTGAGCTCTTTGAGCCATTAAAGTTACAGGAGGCAGAAGGATTCTGAGCATTTTAGATCAGTCAAGCTTCAAAAAAAATCTCAGCTCTGGTTTTACTTAGACTGGTCACACTCTGCTCTATGTGAACACCAGCAGAGGTTAACCCAAAGATGCAGAACTGATTCCCACCTTGAATTCTTAACACTAGTCAATAGCAAACTGAAATATTTATTGAGACCAAGGGTAAAATCACAGGAACTAATAAAGATGATGCAGTTGTGTCACAGATTTTTTTTTTAACAAATTAATCTAGCTTTACTCCTCATTTAAAAAGTTTATTCCTTCAATACTGTTAAAATTAAAGTCACTTAATTTTATCCTTTACTTAGAATGAATTAGAAGCAGCAGTTTCTTCAAAGTGAACACAATTCCTGAATGAATTCTTTCTTCCTTATCAACATCCTTAAGCTTTATTTTCTTTGAAGAGGAAGTTTCTTTCTAGGCCACTCCAATAATTTAGTAATTGGAGGTTTAAGAAAGCAGTGTTAAGGTTTAAGCATTTTGAGTACTTTTTCCTTTATGATAGGACCATTAGTCAATAAACATTTAATCTTCTTTCTTACAGAAATTACTGAAAACACGATTTGTGTTGGCCTTGCTCGTGTAGGTGCTCTAGATGAGAAGATTGCTTCAGGCACACTACAGCAGATGTCCACTGTGGAATTGGGTGATCCACTACATTCCTTAATTGTTACAGGCACTATGCATCCTCTGGAATTGGAAATGCTTAAACTTTTCTCTGTAGATAGTTCCAGTTTTGACAATAATGCATGTCAAAGGACTACTTAAATAAAAATGAGGCATTTACATTTTTATTCCATCTTTAATTGCATACCAGCATAAAGTTATTGCTGTGACTATTTAAGACTTGTCTAACTGTAGTTAGACTGTATATTGCTTCAGAGGACAACACTGCAGGACCATGGACCTGCTTTTACCCAAGGCTCCAAACTGCACCTGCTGGTGTAAGCTTCTACCCTGCAGACACTGCCAGAAACTTCTAAACTTTTCATTCAGGTCACTGACATCCACACCAGTCTTGGACTGTTGACTGGGATAAGAGTACCAGGTATCTGTGTGGCATCACTTGCTGTAGTGCATTAACCCAGCCTACTGCATACATTGTTGTAAGTACATTATATGTTAAATTTGGCCTTTCATCTTTGCAGAAACTTAGGAGTTCTCTTACCAATAGAGAACATTAGTGTGCAAAACCTGTTAGGTCTGTGTCCATCTTTGCCTTGGGAGAGTACAGACAGGTGAGAATGCTCTAAACCAGAGAAAACCAAGAACGTTCTCTTTGGACAGCTGGTGAAAGAGGGGGGAGAATCTGCACAGAATTTCTTAGTTCAGAAGACTGCAACTTAAAATAGAACTGGATTTCTTCAGATGTTAATGCTAGCATTTATGAAGAGCTAGACTCAACTGCAGCAACCACAATTGACCTCAAGCCAAGTCCCAGCAAACAGACTGCAAGAATTCTCTTAAAAATCAGCTTGTAGATGATAGTGGTTGCTATTTCAACTGTTCTTCACAGTATGATGAAAACAAAGCAGACCTGTATGCATATTTTTTTTAAACTGAAGATTTATTGGAAAGAAATTTGATCCCATATCGTTTCAGCAATATAGGATATTTAACATTTTATATAGACTGTATTCAAGTAGAAAAGATTACATTAAAAATTTCTTAATATTGCACTTGGGACAAGCCGTGGCTAAGCTACTGACATTACCATTCCAGAACAAAATCATATATAATCTTCAGAATTTTAGTGAGCTGCCTTGTGTTACCTGCAAGATTTCTTCACAGGTACTTTGACACATTTTGCTATTCAATTGAAGCTCACTGCCAAGAGTAATTCTTGTAATGTAAAGGCAAGCAATATGCTGTATGCTACCAGGAATGATTTTGGCAATTGCTTCATTCACATTATTTTACACTTCAGCCAAGATACTGTAGCGATTCACTTAACTCTTGTACAAGATCCCAGCATACATGTGAGAGGCTAGGCACAGCATGGCTGGCATCGCTTCACATTATAGCAGTGTCTGGCCAAGGAAGTCCCCACAGGGATGGACATTGCAACAAAGCTTGAACAGGGGACAAATCCAAAAGGGAACCCCAGTAAGCTGCAGATAAGGATTTTCACGGAATTGTAAAGGAGGAATTAACTACTGAGTCAGTATTGAGGATCAGAGAGATTATTAAAAAAAAAAAAAAAGAAAGAAAAAAGAAAGAAACAAAAATATCCTGCTTAAAGGGGTGCGATAATCAAGAATCAGCAATCTGATGGCTGCTGGAGAAAACAGGACAGGGTTTAATTATTAACTAAAATTGTTGCTCTGAACAGATATTTAAAAACTTCGTGTCATGAAGAAAGATAAGGGTTTGCATTTTATAAAAGCACGCAACTGAAAATCTGCAATGCACAACTGCAACTGAAATCTGCAATGTGAAAGGAAAGCCATGGACTTTACAATTTGTTTGCACATTGTGCAGGAGATGGAAAACTGCAGTTCAGCAGCAGATTCTCCCCTCTTGTATCTTGTTTACATTCCCAGAACAGGTTCACTTAAAACAGTTAAAACAGAAACCATTAATTTTCCTTCACCTTTAAACCCAGCTTTACTTCTTAAAACAAAAGTAAATTAAAAATGTTAGGTCACTAAGGTCCATTTTATTAGTAGTAGCAGCTTCAATTTTTGTGTAGAAATAGTGTCAGCAGCTTTTACTAACGATGGAACTGAACTTTTGCTTTAGTAGGCATTATTACATAAAAAGCAGAGTCGTTTATTTACTTTTCATCTTAGCTTAGCAAATCACACAAGTAACTCAGCTCTCTGTAGGGGCCCTCCTGATGAAAGGAGCCAGTCTATCCAGAGCTCTAATCACACTTACCAGATTAGCCTATAAAGGACCAGTCCTTACTGTGCATTTTCATAAGAGGAGTTTTCTTCCACTGTTATTTAGCACAAAAAAACATTGAGGCATCTTAATACAGACACACTGTAACATTTGTTTTATCTTCTTATTTTGCTGTAGGTGTGGTAAAAATCATGCAGTTTGCAGGCTTGGTCTTTGGAACAATAGGGTTTTAAGTTACTGGTTTCAGTCACAGAAAAAAATAACCCACAAAGACAGACCAGTAACCCTACTGTAAATATCAGCTACATGAAAATATGAGAAAACCACACTTTAAAAACTTGATTCAAAATTAAGACGTGGATACCAGGAAGCTGAGTTTTAGCACACAATCTGCAGACATTCACCCAACTCTGGATGTCAGTCATTCACACAAGTCTGTTTAAATCATGCCTTGCATCTCCAATAAAGTGTCATAGCAAAGTGTTACATAAGCAGCCAGTGCTAAGTAATTAGCAAAACACAAATAATGGTGCTTTGGCTCTCAGGGTTAGGAAAGCTGCACTTTTGCTTTTAACTGCATGGTTTGTACTCTCCTAAAACTTGAGCAAGTATCCCCTTAGGAGGTGAAAAATAAAATCAGACGTCCCTTGGTTATTGACATATTACATGTCACTGCAGTTGCTGATTAAACGTGTTTGTAGAATTTTGTGATGCTTATCCTTTTTCAAAAAGTCTAAAAAGGCTAATTTCTGTTTTGAGACTGACTTCCTTACACTATCCCTAATTATATTTGACAAACAAATATATTTCTTACTATAAAAGTTAAACATAATGGAGTGCTATCTTGCTTGGCTAGAAAACTCAGACTTGTACATATGCTTCCAACAATCAGCTAAATCATAATAAGCAAAAAAATTATCAAAAGTTATTAAAATAGTTGTACAATTATAACAGGCATATAAGCTTTTTCACTCCATTTCCCATTTTAAGAATTTGGTAGATGTACATTTAAAAGAACACTATCACCACCATCAGACAGCTACTCTGCCAGGTTCCCACTTGGAAACAAATTGTAGCAATTGTCTTTTCATTAAGAAACTAAAATAGTGGCCAAACTCAGCAACTTGGGCAGCACTACAGTATTTCAACAAGTCCTGGAGCAGTCGGTCCTGAAACATGCTGGTGTAGAGATGACTTAAACCAAAGCCTGCTCTTGGATCATGACACAGTTGCAATGAATCTGTCTGGTGCTTGCCTTTAAAATGATATCAATTGATCTTCTCTAGCCTCAAATAGCAGTAATAGTAACCATTAAAAAATGAGGAAGTCCTGCTGGCAGCCAGCAAGCAGCAGTCTATATGCACCACACTACAAAACAGTACCTCCACCCTCCAATCATAAGCAGATTTTCATCACCTTGTCTGTGAACATACATGCACATAGACATAAACTGCAGCGCTCAAATCTGCTCTACAGATTCCTGCACCCCACCCTGTGCCTTGTAACTTCCATCTTTCAGTCAGGAACTCTGGCCTGGCACTGCATCTGCCAGGTGGGACAGGGAGATGCCAGGCAGGCCAGGAGAGAGAGATGTGGAACACGCAGCCTGCTGGGAGCCAGTTTCCAGTTCCAAGCACAAGAGTACACCTGCAATATTTGGACAAAATCAACATTCATGTTTCAGTATCTCAACTGGAAAATTCAGGAACCGCCATCAAATTTGGCAAGTGATGTGTTTTCACATAAAAAGAAATCAGGTGCTATATAGGAACTACAGAATGAGTGCAAGAAACTCTTCATATCTTTGATTGCTTTACCAATATCAATGGCAAACAAACCAATTTCTGCAAATCAATCTTCAGTAATTTCATAGTGCCTAGCACTTACTACACAGACATTGTCAGCTTTTCAGGGCCTTGATTTTACTATGACCTCTGATGAGTACCAAAATAAACATAAAATATGCACCAATCAGTGACAGCTATGATTTCTCAGCAAAATGCCTGTCTTTTTACTTCAACATGTTCTGTTTGTAAAATGTCCTCTTAAAAAGTCTTCTGTTACTAAGTGAACTACTACAGCATAGTGGAACTATCATCTGAAACACCAGACACAGCAGATTGCTTTTGAAAGTGATACTCAGATAGCTGAGTAAAGTGATTACAAATGCTAGAAAATATATGACAGAAGAATGTTTCTGGAAAAAACCCAATCTAACAACCTTTACTGCATTGAGAACTTTCTCCCCTAAGAAAACATACAAGGCTACAGTAAAATAGTCAAAGATGTAAGATTTGTCAACCTGGGAAAAGCATAAGCTAAAACAGCATGAAAAGTGGTCCTTATTTCCATTTTGGGTATAACTGCCAGAAACAACTATTTTCAACATTTGGAAAGGCAAAAATTTGAACTTGATCACTTTAATAAACATTATAACAACCTATTAAAATCAAGGAGACTTAAGCTTTCACAATTTCAGGATTTAGTTTTTTTCCACCACATAATCTGGAAAATAAAAAACGTCAAGCATTGCTTCCATCACCAGCATCTTCCTTCAACTGCCCATTGTTTAAGTGACTGAACATGAACAGCATCATGTAATGTCTCATTACTCTCAACAGTATGAAGAGACTAAGAACTGGAGTTAAATCTAATATTTGGACTAAAATAATGTTCACAAGATATGTGCAACAAAATACCCAGCTTGTCTCAGAAGCAAGTCTCTTCACAACAGCTTTGTCTTTTACATTTAGAATTTTTCTGTCTGGTAAGATGCAAATATAATGGAAGTCTAGCATCTACAGTTATGTAAGTACACAACCCCCCGCATACATCACTAGTAAATAATCAGACTGCATACAAGATTATTTGTAAAAGTAATAAAACCCTTTGATGCTCCATATTTATGCTGGCAAATAGCTCTCCTGATATAAAAGGCACTTTGAAAACCCAATATGGTTTGGTTCATTAAGTTTGCAAAGTACAAACAATTGTACAAACATACAATTATATTGAAGCATGTCAGCCATTGTGACATTGTCTACAAAACAAGTTTCCAATTGCCGATAACACTGGTTTTATGGGAATGAGCAGTGGTTTCAGCAGCTTTACTGAAGACATGACAGGGTTTCCAGTACCACATTCTTACTAAGTAAAAAACCCTCAAAAACTTCCAAGTTTAGGGGCCCCCCAAAAAACAAGACCCAAAGTCCATAACATTCATTCAATATTTACTCCTTAGAAGTGAACTCCCTCCATAGCCCGAGGGCAGAAATCTATTTAGTCGATTCCAGACGTGGTGGAGGCAGGCTCTGTCTCAAGAAGTGTTGTTACACCAGTACAGTACTGAAAACTTTGGTCCAACAGCACCATTCCAGAAAATGACTACATGGCTGCAACATCGATCTGTATGTAAAGCTGCCTTACTCCTGCCTGTGGAAAAGGGAAGGAGGGTTAAAAGCTCTGTAAAGCCAAAGCAGTTTCCTGTCCTGAGCATCAGCCCACATCAATAAATGACCTAGCAAAAATACTCAACATCTTATTTTTCTGTAATTCATCTCCACATTTAGCACATCACTCAGAGAACACCTGATGAATAAGGAGTTCTTCATGCAGTCAAGTGCACACAGATAATGATGTATTAACATTAGCTTTGCCACATTACCTCTTCTGATTCATCCTAAATAACTGCCACATGTGAAGCTGCACAAAAGTAATTCTTTCTTTCGTGCCAGTTTAACTTCCTGAAAAGCAAGCTGCTTGAAGAACTGTCAGTTTAAAATGGAGCTAAGGACAAGAGCATAACGTGGGACTTGTTCAAACCAGTTCTACATTACAAATCTATCCAGAAAGCCATCACATGTGCAAGCTGCCAATGCAGTGAAAAGCCTGAGTAGGTCCAGTCTGTGGTGAGAAACTCTGTCCTAAGAGAAGGCTCGTCTGTTTTCTTAGTTCCTTATAGGTCAATACAGATCAACCCCATTTGATACACCTGAGACAATTACATCTGTTATTTCATAAAGTGGCATGAAAAACTAATGCAGAGAGGTACAGTAATTTCATCTACACAACTGAGTATTTTGGAATTGTTTGATACAGCTGGAGCAGGGAAGCTTTTCAAAACAGATATCAAACTCAGAAATACTTAACCTTTCATGATATGGATTACAGTGTCACATAATGTAACAAGCAATTTACACTTTGAGATGTGATTTCCACTGATAAGACGTACCTGAGTAAAAATATTGTGAGTCTGGCTTAGAATCCACCTTCCATCAGCATCAGGAGCTACTAATAACTTCAAAGTCCCTATGTAAACATCAGTACAGAGGGTCCAGAAATGTGGATCATGTAAACTGTAGACTCCTTGCAACTGCTGCACCTAAAAATAGAGGCAAATTTTAGAAAGTGTATTTCAGTAAATATTTGTTTATACTATTTTTTTTATAGAAAGTATTATGAAAGCCAATGCATTCTTTTATTTCTAGTTCACTGTGCATTTTGTCATCTTTTACCAAAATTTCTTATTACTATCTCAATTATTGTAAGGAAGATGAAAACATATGGATTTATGCCCATGTCACGATTTTCTGTATGTGTTGTGATTTTGCACCCTGCTGCATTTATATTCTAGATGTATTTTACTGAGACAATTTCTGAAAATAGAGGCATTCACAAGCAAAAAGTCAGAGTTTTTGGACTTGAGATGGCATGCAGTTAAAACTGCCTGTTTTGCAAATGTGCAAATGTTGCCATGAAACAATTTGTGAGATTCTGACTTTAACAGAAATATATATCAATTACAATTTTGTGAGGGTTTAGATGGGTCCTGCCAATCCCTTTGTTTTTTCATCTTCCACTTTGAGTGGACCCTCCATGTGATGACTACAACCTGTAACTCCCAAGGAAAGGCAGCACTCCTTCAAGTGCTTTGTATTAACTTTGCAAAGGCACTTCATGGCATACTGATAGAAAAGTTAAGTAGGAGAACAGGTCAAATCCAGAGTCATCTTTGTTTTCTTATAAATACACTTCCAATGTTACGTATAAGCACAATTTATAAGTATAGTACTTTTTGTGCTATACTTATAGTACAAGTACTTTTTGAGGAATAGCTTCAGGATCTGTTTTTCTGAACTAACATAAATTAAACTGGTACCTTGATTTGTGTGTTCTACGGTACCTTTGAATGACATTACTGGAAAAACATAAAATATTGTCATACACCCAGCTGAGGCTCAGTCAGTCAGCAGCTTGATCAGTCAGAGCAAAACCAGCTTAAGAGCTCACCCTCTGGTAGCACTGAGGCAGGGCATTTTCCAGGGAAGGAGGAGTTCGCTGCATCAAAATCCCAATGGACTCTTTTAAAAGTGGAACAATACTAGAAAGAAAAAAAGGAAATTGGCTATTATTACATTTTCAAAAGGTACAAGGAGCAACCTAAGATTACTTAATGCTGAGAAATTTTTCTTTAGTTCCTCCACCAGAAGCTGAGAAAGTCACCACGAAAACCCAGTGCAGAAAATAAAAGGATTGACAAAATTGCTATGGTGTCCTATCAAAGGCAAGATTATTTCTCTCCCAGCATTTCCAGAGTCAACTGGTGGTCAGTCACAAAAGATTAGTAGTTTAATCATGGGACTTGAGATGAAATCTCTTGGTATCTTGGAAGTTATACAACAAAGCAGCTGTATAGCTCAAAACCAACAGCAATGGCAAATCATTCACAAGCAACCATAAAAATACACAACTGAAATTGCGTTTGCTTTTGTGTTTGGTTTAAGGCATATTTTTCTTATGAACTAAGATAATAATGGGGTAATCTTAAAACAAAATTAGTGTGGAACAGTCCAGCTACAACAGAGTTATTTTGTCAGAAACAGACAACTTGGCATATTCTTGAAGTGAACTAAGTGTAGGGTCCTCATCCAAGCTCAAGGGTTAAACATTTTGAAGCAATTAGAGGTTCTCTCCTCCTGGCCAAATGGTCTTGTTTAATCAGCAAACTAAGAAGACATTTAATACCTTTTTTATTATTATTACTTTCTGGTTTTTAATAAAACAGGGAGACCAGTAAGCCTATACCCTGAAGCTACCACTAGTAAGTTATACTCTTACTAAGTACTCAGCGTGGTGATTTTTTTGTTTAGGAGTAGTGCATCATGTCTGGTTCAGCAGAGCATTATAAAATTTTCAAGTGCATAACAAATATCTGTAGTCCAACAGTAAAGCTTAAATAGCGATTACATTTCAAGAGCATACAAGTCCTAACATTCCGGACTGAAAATGATTATATATTTCAGAAACTGTAAGCTGCATTTCAGAGTTCAGCACTGGCATCACAGCTGCAGTATATGGAGTTATGGGATTAAAAGCACACCTGAAACATTTGTAAGAGATTAACTGGACCAGTTGTTAAAGGACACTGGAGGACCTCTGTTTAAAATCTCATGAAGTGACGTGGAATGCATGGCACAGACCAGCTGTGTATTTGCAGATGTGAATAAATGACCTAATCATTTTTAGAAAGGTATTTCCATTTGAACATGGGGCAGTGCTGGCTGTTGGACTGCTCAGCTCACTCCCTGGCTAAACCTTGGCCAGGGTAGGAGGGAGCAAGAGGCTGCGTGACTCTTGTCTAATGAACCCCTGCAAAAACCACCATCCTAAAATTAAGTCTTCTTGCAGGCACAATGGTTGTTCCAGCCAAATTCACTGCCTGGTGCTCTTCAGCACATGGCCTCCCACGTTTGCACTGCCACCAAGGCATTGGTTCAGAAACAGGAAGAAGCAATTAGGGGCAAGCAGGAGTTGCCTAAACTAGACCTGTCACCAAGACAAACATTTAGCAATGCAATAACTGTCAATCTGTCTAAAGGAAGCTTAATTGGAGTGTCACATTCTACAGTGGATTACAGAAGTTTAGGGAAAAAAGGTTCTCTTATTAATGGACCCATCTCACTAAATAATGTCCATGTCACAAGCATTAAATCAAAGAGAGCTGGAGCTGCCAACACACTCTACTGATGAATTGATTTCAGTTTAACTCCCTATTTAAAATGCAGGTTTGCTTCTTAATAAAAAACTTGAAAGACCAATACACCAGTTCAGGATGCAAAGTGCATGCAAGAATTTTGAACACTACTCCATTCCCATAAATTTAACAAGGCCTCTCTAGCATATGCATCCAAAGATTTCAAAAACCACACACGTACAGGCTGAATTTTTTCCCAGGGAAACAACTAAAGGAATAGAGAATGTAGTAAGTCTGCCTTTTTATTGAGACATTCCACTAAGAGTGAGAAAAGTCATGAAAGAAAGCTAATAAAAATGTCTAATTTGTACAATTTATTTACAGTATTTAATAAAACTGATATACATTATCTGATGGAAGAGAAATTAATTGTAAAGTAGATTAGATGAGACAGGCTATGAAACAAGAACATCTTAAAAGTCAGGATGTGGCTTGATATTGTTGGTGAAAGTTGAAGCTTATCCCAGGTCACACCTTCTTCCTCTATCTTAGAGCCAGTGTCAAGATATAAAGTTTGTCTTTTGCAAAGCTGAAAAGCCAAAAGACAGCTGCAGTGATGTGACAGGCCCTCACAAATGTTGTTCACAGCAAACCAGCACGGATGCCCCTCTGCATCCAGGGGGATACTAATTCACATGGTATCTTACTGTAAGCCAAACTAACACAACAAACAACAGAATCCAGTTTTATGATGCCTAATGTTTTCCACTTTTTCATGAATACTACTGAAGTAGAAAACCATCAGTATAAAAGCCAGAACTCCACAGATGAGCTCTTTTCTCAAACATTAACTAAAACCAAGATTACTTAATCACTAAGAGGCAATAGAAATATCAGTTCTACATCATGTGACTGAAGAAAACATAAAGGAAGATGACAAAACCAAGCTGGCTGAAAATACAGTTAGAGATCTTGACCAAGCTTTCTCTTTTTTTTTTGGCTTAGTCATTAGTGGGAAAAAAAAAGTGTCTGCCTCCACAACGATTGCACTGGTGCTTCCCCCCTTGTTTGTTTTTATTTATAAGATTATTGAGGAAAACAAATAATGCTGAATTCTCACTAAGTGGAAAGCTTTCTCATGCATAAGCAGTCAGTAAGCTTTGCTATTAACACAATTCCATTGCTTTCTGATTACCAAGCCTTAAATCTAAAATATCACACTCTTTTACAAGACAATAAATTTGAAAGAGGAACTAACCCACAGCAAGATTTGGAATAAAATAACATATCCTTTACAAAAGCCAGAAAAGCAAAGGCAGCTAACATTACAGCACATCACATTTGCACACAACACTGCTACAGAAAAAGTGAAAGGTGTTCAAACAAATCGAAACAAACTATTGATATGAATTTGATAAATCCAGCCCGCCACTAATACACATGGATTGATTAAAAATTAGGAGTGAAAGCATCAGACTCTTATTTAACCTGCATCAAATTCAGATAATACTCTTGCCCCTTCCAGTGCCATCCTATTTATGCAACTGTTTTTGTAGGCATAGCCAGCAAGACCCTGGCACTGTCACAATCTTGGACTGCAAAGCTGAAAACAACTCAGGGTAAAGAACCCTTTAGACAGACACTGCACTCAGAGAGCAGCAGGAAATTCATTCAGTGCTCTCAGCACTACAGAAAATAGGGGGTATTTGTGACAGGTTTTGTGGAAGGTAAACAAACATTGCTGAGGATCAAGACCAGCAAGGGTTCTTCAAATAGTATAGCTCAAAATCTACAGCAAATTTTCCAAATTCCAGGTTTTTTTCCCAGCCACCATCCATATCCACAATGTAAAGACTGTTGGCCTATTTCAGAACTTCAATAAAATTCTTTTATTAGGCAATGGCAATTTTAGTCAGACTGCAAGCTTTGCTCAAGACGAGGACCACAGGTTTAACATTTGCTTTACTGATTTTGAATTCTTTGTTCTCATAACAATGTAGTACGTTGATTTTCAAGCAAGGCTGGCAGGTACCATTACCCTGTAAATAAAGGCAGTGCTTGACATTTAGCAATAATGGCTTAAAGTAACACCAACAACAAACATGCTAGTTTGGAGGAGCTTTCCTATATAAAATTCATTCTGAATCTTAATGAATGCAGCACTTCATTTAAAAAAAGTATTTTTTTTTATACTGCTATGCACCAAACTTGAAATGCTCCCAGTGTTACTGGCACACCTTCCCCCAAAGCTCTTTCATATTATATCATGTTGAAGCAGCTCAAGATTTTATGCAAAAGATTATGTAACCCATGGAAACAACTTCACTAAATGACTGAAGTAAATTGCCTCATTTCTTTGACCACTTAATATGAAGTCTGCATGCTTAGTGCAATCTAGTATCAGATTTAGTATGTTGTGCCCTTCTAGAAACATGTGGGCCTAATAGTGGTTTAGGACAAACTTGATTTATACCAGAGTTGTGGCTTTTGCGTGATGACTAGTTTCATATAGCTGACTGAAATACTAAAATTGCTTCAAGATTTCAGAATAAGGCTTAGAATACTAAGGTTAAAAACTAAATGAGTGTTGAGTTTTAAATATTAAAAGCAGTTTAGAGACCTGATAAATTGTTTATTGAGTCAAGGCACATATAATTATGTGAACAACACTTTGGAAAAATCTTAAAGAATGTCAGCCTAAACTACAGTGAAATAGTCAAGCTTTTGTTAAAAAAAAAAAATTAAAATGCTGGTAAGATAGACTTGTCTATTTTAAGCATGTCCTATTTATGCTTTACTTGCATGAAACAGTACAAAGTTATCAAAGAAAGAGTCGTCAGATATTAGTGGTTGCATCCAGGAAAATTCAGATGCCACACAGGATTTTCACTGTGCAGTGAGAATGTTCTGTGCTAACTCATGAGGAGTCAGGCAGAGAATGTCACCCTACAGCACCCTTAGCAAAAGATCACAGAAGCAACAGAGCAACTGTGTCAGCAGCTGACAATTTCCACCAATTAGAGATGCTGTCTACAAGAAGGCTCAACCATTTGATTTAAAAGCACTTCTTGACTTCTCTGAAGAAGCATTGCTTAACCCTTCTGTACATGCACAAGGCAAAACAGGTGAAATCTGTACAGTTTTACACTGCACCAGTGAATTTTTTTAGTCATCTTATACAGGTATTTCTGTGATTTCTTTGGCAAGTGTGGCTGTCATTTCAAAAACCTAAACGGAGAAGACCCACTAATAGGAGGAGACAAGACTCAAATAAACCAGAGAGCTGCCCAACAGTGAAGCAAGCAAACACTCAATATAAAACAAATGAATAGTTATCTCACAAAGACACAAGCAATCCTGGATTAAGAGCAATGATTTTCCTCTGCACTCTCATGCAATAGCTTTGATATTCTACTGGTTCACCAGACATAATTCCATAAAAGGTAATAAGAATTGCTGTTCTGCCATTATTCCCTCTTTGTGTACAAAAGTATCATAAAAAGAATACAGATTAAAAAAATGAAAACAAACCCACAAACTAAAACAAACTAAAAGAACCCCACAACAAAACACTCTAACAAAATAACAGAGAATCAGAAGTCTTGCATCTAACCTAGCCCCTACTCATACCCTGCAGACTCTGTAAGTCAAACTCAGACCATTAAGCAATAACTAGGAGGATACAGTTCCAAGTAGGGCAAAGTCCTCAGACACCATTAAAACTTTTGAATGAATTTGTCAGACTGGCTTTTGCATCTATGGCTCAAAACTATGAATCTTTTATTACAGCCACAAAGATCCTAAATACAGAACAGATCCTGATTTTTAAACACACATGAATGGGGTCTGCTTGTTGGGACACACACATACTCTTACTCCACTTTACCTTATTAAAGTTGGTTTAACAGTAAAAGGCACACAAACAAAATCAACAAATATTCATTTGAAACAGAAGACAATTATTTAATTTGAAGCCAAAATCACCCTGAAAATTATTTATCAAGGTTTCAAATTGGCCCACAGAAATTGACAGCAACTCCTGTACTAGAAATTGAACATCCCAGTCTATCCCACCTCAAATATACAAGTATCTCATGAGTAGACAGACAATTTAAAAATCCAAAGAAATAAAGCCCAAACCCAAATAGCCTGCCTCACCCCGCCCCCCCAGCTGGAACTAGACACAGCTCTTGCCATTACCAATTTAAATTATTTTTGCAATGTTATTCCCCTCAAATTTTAAATTTCACAGAACTTCAGTAGGTTTTTTTCTCTGGGTTAGATTTAGATAACTTTAAAAGATTAAGTACAAAAGTATTATATATCCTAGAAAGCATCACCTGGGCTCCCATGTTACTGTTACAGAAGACCAGCTTATGGAAAAATCTAAAAACCCTTTTGCACTAATTCTTAAAGGACACTTCAAACACAGCATAGTGAAGAATAAGGCAAAATTAATAGTGGTTCTACGTCCACAAGTATAAATGAAGACTACTAAAGTCAAACACCACAAAAAGGGACTCAAGTTTTCAATAGTCATCTGAAACTGCCAGTAATCTTATTTATGATTCAAGTGCATTTCAAGCAAAACCATCAATAGTTCAGTCTGTTGGACTGCTTAGAAAACAAATAAAATACCAACACAAAACCACCCAACCCTGCTATTAGTGTTTGCTCCACTGATGTGCCAGGATGTGTCAGCTGGCAAGAAATGAAGGCCTGCTTCTATCAGCTATGATGCAGCTGACTACACTGATAGCAGGATTATTCTACTGATCATTTATAGCATTGTGGACCAACAAAACAGCATTACAGGCTGAAGTCTGGCATCAGATCAAAAGACACATCAAACAGTGAACTTCTCCAGCATTTTCAGCATAGAACATGGGTCTCAAACATTCCTTCTATCTGTGCTAGAAAACCTATAAACAGCATTATTATGACACCTCTATTATGGAATTCAGTGTTATTTCAACTACTGTATGAATGGAAGAAAAAAATGAATTATCATTCATGTGGTATTTTCTACTGTACACAAAGCTGGACCCTTAAAATACAACATGCATGGAAACCCGTGTGTTACTCAGCTACTACCTCTACCTCAGCAACAGTTTCTTCCTGTTTGGAAACTTGCACATTTTCTTTCCCATTTCTTGAGATTTCAGTACTAGAAGTAGTTTGTAATAATTTGTCTTTAATGAAATTACAGAATGTCGCAGTCAAAATCTCTGAAGTTTACATGAAAGTGGTGATTTCACAGTGATTTCTAGCACAGACATTTCTGTGGGCGGTATCTCAAGCCTGCTGCCCTACTTTGACTAACAGGGAGATTCACATCAATAATCCTGTGAATGCTGCCATGCAAAGCCATAAACATGCCATACATGGTAGGAGCAGAAATAGCTCCAGTTCATCAGATGACACTCACCACTGCTGAACAGACAAAGGTATTCAGTTATTAGGTTGTAACTAGAATTGTGGCACACTGCCCTATGGCACCATAGAAACTGCTGCCAAAAAAGCCTCATAACATCACTGAATGAAATATTTGCTTGACCAGTCTGATCCAAATAGCTTCACATTCACAGTGATCTTGGTAAGAAACAACTGTGAAATCCAGAAGTACGTGAAGCATTTCCATCAGATCTTAAAAAAAGAGTGCAAATACAAAGGAAAAGGCAATTCTTGTTGAGATAAGAAAACAAAATTAAAACCTAACAGCCTTGATTTGTCAAGGAGAAGGGCACATATCCTGTGCCAGCAGCCCCAACTCTGCTGTCCTGAAACCATTCTGCTCCATTTACTGGAGTACATTGGTTTATATAAGCATGTACTAAATACAGAGATGAAGCTCTACAGTTTGAACCTGAAAGACATTTTTGTAGTACTATGCAAAGAAGGACAAAATATGCAGATTTAAGAGCAAAAGTTGTAGCTGTAGAAAAAGGAAAGATAGCTCACGTAAGAGCTCACCAGAATGTCTGTATAGAACAGAAGTAACACACCACTCTTGGAAGAAAAGCAAATGTTGTAAGTCATTAGCATAACAAAACCCCTTTTTCCTCTGAGCTGTGATTTCTCCTGTAATTAGCATCAAAAATCCTACCGAATACCAGTGATAGCAATACTTACCTTACACCTATAAGTAGTGCTATCAGCATTGAACAAATAGGATCTGCTATCATTAGACCATAGTTCTGCATCAGTATAGCAGATATGATTACACCAATACTTCCCAGTGTGTCTGCCACAATGTGCAGAAATACACCTGTAAGAGATCAAGTGATACCATTACAACTTGATATTCTTAAAGCTAATGGAGCATTTCAGAGATGTTTTACAAAAATGAGTTTCAAGAACTAGATAATGTGATCTACACTTTTCAAGTTTGTGGTCAGTTTTGGGTCAAACACACAAAGATTTTAATGTATTTATAGAATATGGGACATTTGAAGAATTTACATTCTTTTATGCACTTAGCAGTAATGGGTATTTCATAGCAAGGCTACTAACTTGTACAATGATTAACAGCTGCAGCTAGACTTTTTTCACTCAATACTCACCTTTATTTTAGTACAGAAACTCATATTCCTTGATGCCTACAGTCGTGAGTTCTGCATAAGGTGGACAGACTGTTAACAGAAACAGTTCTGCAAAGCTTTGATACTACATGCTAATGTTTAATTGACAACACCTTCTAGAAGTTACTTGGCAAAGAAATCCAAGACAAATAGTTGTGAGAATTAAACAATACTGCAGGCATGGAAAGCCTTACTCTTAAGAATAACGCTGCCTTCAAGTACAAAGAAACACATACTTTGCAGCTAGTCAAAGTTTAGCCTTTGGAGCTCTCTGCTGGCAGTGACTGGAAGTCATTCAGAAACACAATACAGTGTACCGTAAATTCTGGAAGAGCTTGTAAATATTCCTTCTCAAGGACTGCAAACAAACCAGAAAATCATCCAACAAGAAAAAACCCTATTTTGGTTTTGGTATGCCAAAAAAACCTATTTTGGTACATTTGGGTATGCCAAATAATTACTACCTCCTGCATTTCATAATTGTCTCCCTTTAACTTCTGAACATTTGAAAAAAGCTGTGATAGATTGGCATTTAAGAAAACAAAAAGAAACACCTAAGGAAGTTAAAACCGCTGGAGACTGATGGGAGTTTTTCTCCTATCCAACAGCTGGCCATTTCTAAGAATTGACAGCAGTTTTAACCATTGAAAAAGTGAGATCAACCTGTGAACACCACCTTAAGATCTAAGCCTGTTTTGCTCTTGTTCTAATCCACATCTCACAGCAAAAAATAAGTAAGTTTTCTAGTAATTCTTTAATTATTGCTTTAAAACCATGACATTTATTTGGTGCGTTGGCCGGGAAATTAAATTGACAAATCTAAACCACTACATTAACATAACAAAAGCAAAATAAAACCAACAAACAGCCAACCAAAGCTCAAAACCAACATCTAAATTATCCATAACTAATGCTCAGGAGATCAGGACTCCAATACTACTTTGAGAAATTTAGATGAATTACCATCTGCTCTAAAAACCAACTCTAAGAGCTTGATGAAATGCAAGTTTTAAGCTCAGGTACTCTTTAACAATTATATCAATCTGCATCAATCTGCATTACATCAATCTGTATCTTCATGTTACAGAACAAATATTGCAATTAGGCTCCTTAGGTTTCTGGTTTTAACCTAACTCTTTCTTAGTTTTTCATTGATTTTTCAGCATCAATAACAGAAGCTGAATCCCAGCTTTTGGGATGTCTCTTTTAAACTGTGTTGACACTGCATTACATTTAGCTTCTGTGAATGTCTCAACACCTAGTCATGCACAGGATACAGCAGAGCTATTTACAGGGGGAATGGAACTTCATTAAATAGCTCCTTCAAGAAAAACATGGAATTTATCCAGAGGAACCCTCTAAAACAGATGTGTGACAGACCCAGGCAGGCAGACTGTGATAAAGCAAATAAACCATCATACTTATTCTCATCATACCTTGTAAAATCTGTTTGCTGGATCCAGCCATTACTTCAAGGGAATGGTCATCTGTGAAGGCAATTATTGACATATTAACCAAAACAAAGGTTCTCTCTTGTGGTCCTTCTGTTACATTCCTCCTTTCTGAAATATCTTGGACAGACAGGCTGCTCACAATGATCAGCTTCTACTCAAGCTATTGTTTTTTAATGCAGCAATTAAGTTAAAAGTCTTAAAATGCATTTCTTTAAAATATAATATCACTTTACACAATATACTTCTACATAGGTATATAAACATAAATTATCTACATTTGTTCTTAATTAAAACAAGAGGAGAGGTAAGACCTTGCTAGTATATAGCAATATAAGACCCCTCAAGAACCCAAGCCATAAATGCAAGCGAGAAGAGTAGATTCAAACAAATTTGCTAACTAGAAATACTTCACACTTAAGCAAGCATTTATACCTAATGTAAAAAACAAGGATAAGACTGAGAGAAGGAACAAGTAAGTAAAAAAATCTTCTCATCCAAGCAGATTAATGCTTCTGTAGCACTAATCTGAAAGATATTTTGAGAAAAACTTGTTAAAGAATAGCAATAGGCTTCTAGTGAAGATATACATAATTTACACAACAGCTGATTTGAATATCAAACTGCACAAGACAGATAGCTACAATTACTGGTTGAGCTACAATCAAGGGGTGGGAGCCATGTGGATGGCAAGGAGGAGGCAGAAGCAGGGAACTCCTGCTTTCCAACCAATTTCCAGGAGAACTACTGGAAAAGAAATGCCAGTTTTCTAAGAATAGCAAGTAAGGGCTAAGTAAGTATTTTTATACTCTGTCACCTCCTGTCTGCCAGTTCCCACACTATTCCCTGCTCTGAATTTTGAGTCATGACAGATCTCAGCTTATGGCTGAGGCAGGAAGGACTGATGACCCTGCATTACCACAAGGCTTTTTTCATTTGCATTGTTTCAAATAGGTGGTACCTACACAAGCTCTTCTCCCATTGTGAAGGCTACTGACCATATTTTACATGAATGTCTCTTCTCATATCATTTGCCTTCATAGAAAAGATTTCAGCATAGCTAACATAATAAGTATCTTTTCCATAACCATCTTAAAACAGATTACAACTACACAAAATTGAGAAAGTCATATTTGAGATAACAAACCAAGTACAACTAACCAAGTACAACTAACCAAGTACCAACAATCCATAAGTACCCAAAGTTCACTAGTTCATTTTTCTAATACCTTGAGTTGTAAAATTATATAAATGGAGAACAGTAGCAAAACAGCATAACTTTGTCAATTTATTTTAATGAAAAAACTGGAACAGGGCACTTGATAACGAATTTCATTATACTCCAATAGCATACAGCTATTCCATCTTTTGCCAACATGCAACATTACAGTGCCCACTCAAAAACCAGAGGTAAAGCAAAATCTTTAAAAACTAACATTGAAATTACTGCAAGTGAAACACACAAAATGAGTCACAAAATACAGTGCTGGCAGAGCATACCAGACATTCAATGAAGCTACTTCCATGTATGATCACAACAAGCTGACAACACTCTCCTTTTATTTTTCTCTAAGTTATTTAGATTGAGTCAGGATGGTCTATGATATCAGCTCAGTACTTACCATGACAATAATCCTGACCATGAGAGTGTCCATGGCCGTGACCATGAGAGTGTCCATGGGAATGTTTATGTTCATGGCTGTGCCCATGATCTCCGTGACTGTGCCCATGGCTGAGACCACCGTTAAATAGAGAATGGCTGTGCTCATGCCCTATAGACAAATACCACCATCAGGGTCAATTTGTGAATACATACATGATGAATAAAAGTACCCTTACATTTGTTTCTCAGCTACTCAAAACCTATTCATTTTTTAGGTCATCTTAAGGTATAGCTTTAAATAAGAAACTTAGCACAAGGTGTTTTTCATCTACAGCTCTGCTGTGCAGACATATTTTATATATAAATAGACACATAAAATATACCAGGTTTGAGAAGTCAAGTAGTTTTATACATTCCCATTTCTGAAACTTGTTGTGCTAGACTTCTAGTATAATTTGAAAAACGTACTTCATTAGATATAAGCACTTTAAAAATAGCTGTTTTAAGAAAGCAGAAATTGACTGTCATTTGCATTAATGACAGTCAATAATTAAAAATTCAAGCTTTGATTGTGCTTGAAGACCAAAGACTATGTTCTTCCACCAGTCTAAGTTAATATGTTAAGCTCAAAGACAGACCCACAGGCTTTGCAGAAAAAAATGCAGAGAGTTTACCATGTGTATTTAGGTAAATAAATTCTGCATTTCAATTCAAAAGACACTGGGTTGAGAAGCATCTGAAGCAGAATCATCTCATGCTTAAAATGTGGTTCAAATACTGTTTCTAAATTTTCCAGCCAGAACCTTGCTTAAGACCAGCTTAAATTTGTCCAAAAAGGTGCTCTGCAAATCTCTTTCAATAAGGTGCAGGAGAGTGCATGAACTCCAGGAAGCAGCTTCTGGACCCCTAGGTGTTTCAGTTAATGGATATTAACATGAGAAGTACAACAGTGGCTTACCACGGCTGGTAATAAAACACAGAAGTCAACACAGCAAGAGGTCACATGCACGTGTGGCTGGAATTGCCATTAACAAGACATCAAATGCAATACTGGGGTTCTCACTGGGGCATAATAAGGCCCTGGAACACAGGCTGCCAAGAAAGGAAACAGTACTGGAAGTTACACCCTACCAGAGCCGTGTGAATGCCCATGACCTCCATGCTGAAAAACAAATATTCCTATAAGATTTACAATGAATCCCAATATAGAAACAGGAAGAAGTCTCTCATGATGCACATCTGGAGGCTCAAGTGCTCTCTGAAAAAAAAAAAAAAAGAAACAAACCAAAAAGCAAATGTAGAGTTTTACAATCCCCTTACATTATTAAAAGACACCACAAACTACTTAGATAAAGGAGCATTCTTATATGTAACATATATATAGATATAATTAGAAATTACTCAGAACTTCCAGTTTTTGGGATGATACACAGACCAATTCTCAGTGTCTGAAAATAAAGTTCTATTATTAAAGCTGTGAAAGTACAGTAGAATATTCTGAGACTCTAGCTCAGCTTTATCATGAGATTTGGTTATGCTGTGGGATGTGGCTCAACACTATCTGAAAATATTCAGGTTTGTTCCAGTATGTGGATTGCTTAAGTCACCTTCTAACAGTCTAGAATGCCATTTCTTCCTTTCTCCTTAGAAAGGTGAGGCAATGAGGGGAATGAAATTAAGACTCGGGACGAATTATGACATTTTTTATAAATTCTCAAATCTAGATTGATTTTTTCCAATTCCTTTTTTTACCCTACTTCCTCTGGAATTTTTTTTCTCAATGAGACATTACAAATCTAATACAATTTGTGTCTCAAGCTAAGTGTTGAGGAGTGTAAATTATTACTGATAGAGGAGAAAAACATTCACCATCTCTGCACAAGGATGAAAGGTACAGGCAGTAAATAGCAAGACAACAAAACATTTGGCACAGTAAAATTTTAAAGTAACTGAGAGAGAGTCACCATCACAAGCAAAGAGAATACTTAGCATGGGAGATCAGATCAGCAAGAAGAGAATCTTGCTTCAATGTTACCATTTCCCCTCTCACAGTTTTAAATTTTTTTAGTAAGTTTTTCTCCTGTTACTAGATTTGAAGCTTTCTCAGGCTTTTAGGTAATTTCAGCCCAGCTTTAACTTTTAACTGATTTTGAAGTATTAATAAGCCTATCAATGTAGAAAAATGTTTAATGTAGAAAAAGTTCTTCCCAATTCTCTGTTAATAAAAGAAAAACTTGATAGACTTTTTCTGAACTAAAAGTCTAAACAAATTTATAGTGTATTTCTATTTCTATTTTTCATTAAAAAGTACAAGCATTAATTCAAGCTGGTTAGAAATAGTTATCAGTTTTACTTTAATCCTTGATGTTGCCCTTAGTGTCTAAATTTCAATCTTGAAATTATTACCCAAACCATCATGTAAAAAAGACCAAAAAAACAAACTGCAAGAAAAGAGCCCTTGTAAATGTTTAAGCTATTACTACTTGCCATATATATCAGACTTCAAGATTTGAAGAACAGTGCCCTTTCTTTAACAAGCTGGTCCAACTTCTCATCATGTTACTTATGACTAACTTCTCTAAATTACTAGTTTGGGCCTTTCTTGGCCTCATTTGTTCTTTAACAATGAGAAGGGAAGATCTTTCTAAGACATCCTTAACTGGCTGCAAAAAAGGACAGGCTCCATCTCACAGAATCTTTACACATAAACAAAATACAATTTAAGAAGCTAGTACAGATACACTGAAAAAGCTGGGTTTCTCTGTCATGAAACAGCAACTTCAGATGGCCCTATTCTCTGTTCAAATCACAGATTTTTAATCAACTATTAACACAATTTAAATTTCCAATTCACTAATTTCAATAATTTATTCTATTAAAACCAGAAATGTTTATCCATATTAATTATAGAACGTAATAGCGTAATTGATTTCATAACATACCTCAACACCTTCAGAAAAAATGAAGAATGCTGTAAAGATGAGGAATAAACCATTTACAAAACCAGCAAGTACTTCTGCTCGAACATAACTGCAAGAAACAAAAAAAAGTAATAGCAGATATTATTACTTGCATTTACATGCTGAAAATTAGGACTTAGGAAACTGGAGTGCAATCTTCTAGCTCTCAAGCAGTTATGTTACATAGGAATTTGCTAAATAGAAGATGGCACATAAATTAGGGATGAGCATATAAAACTGACCACATTGTACTCAGACAGAAAACTACCTGATCCAGATCAGCCATTCACTGATCTAGAGGAAAGAAATCTTTCAATATGTCAAAATTTTTCCATTTAAGATTATGTCTACTCAAAGTTATGGTATAAACGTAATTTGGAAGCCACAAACTAAGATAAGCATGCAAAATCCAATCAAAGTTTTCTGGTGTTATAATATCAAACAGACACGTATTAATTTGCTTCACCTCTAAAAGGTAGACTTTCAGTAGAAGTTTTAAGTAAAGATTAATTACTTCAAACATCCAATTTTGACAATAACAAACTGCTAGGTTAGAATAATATGTAATTTCAATGTAGCAAACATCAGACAATAAAGTGCGGTTGTCCTCTGATAAATGAAACACCAGCTGTTTAAATGCTCAGCAGTAATTAATACAGAACGTGCTTTCACTGCAATTATTTCATGGTATGATTCTCTCTAAACTGATTTCTATGTACACTGGAGCTTCCACCTAAACTGAACTGTGCTTCAAGTTTCAAACTACATGATTCACACTTAAGCAAGGTGGCTGAAGCTAAATGCTGACAGGTCAGTAATGCTATGGGGAATGCTCATGTTACAACTTATTTGCTGTTAATCATTACCAATTAATAATATTGTGCCAGTATTGTTTTATAGGGCACAACTGCCATGTTCAGTGGAACCAAGTGCCTGTCAAATGCCAGCTGCAGCAGGTAAATCCACCAAGGGCAGTATGGGATGACACACCTCAGCCTTGAGGATCTGTGTTAATGGCAGCCACAGATCCTGGATCCTGCTGCTTCCAAGAATCATGGTATATCATCTCCAGTGCAGCATCACTGAGACTTGGCTCCTTTCAGTTGTAGCTTTCTGTTCCAAAGGAGAAATGGGACACCAGCAGTCTGGGAATCCCTGTAATGTTCCTCAATGCACTGTGAGGACAAACCCAGGATGTGGCTGCTTGCTCTTCACTGCTGCCATTAATACACAGCAATGCAGGGCTACTTTCTGCTCTCTAACTGGTTTCCACTAGTATGATCAGAGATCTTGCAAGTGATAAACCTTCTTCCCAAAAGCAATACTTTCATATTTTTATTATTTCTATTAACTTAGATCTTTACATAGCTCACCTTAAAAAACCCCTCACTTTCAACATAATTTTTCCATGTCCTGCAAAAGACTTTTGTTTTAAGTGAAAAATGACTACCTAAGCATTTACTATAATACATTAAGGTAACAGCCTGAAGTTTCTTACCCATATGAGAAAGCATCATTTGATCTCCATTTTGAAATAACTGAAGCTGCTAATCCAGCCAATAGAGCAGTACAGTCAAAAAACATATGAAAAGAATCTGATATTAGACCTAAACTGAAAGAGAACAGAAAAAGAGTGTTATGTTCCATATGCCACATGTTGAGTATGAAAAAAAAAACCCCACAGACATTAATCTTTTCTCACTAGCAGAATACACTGTGTTTCCAAGTTTCAGGCATGGTTTTGCTAGCACAGAGGAGAAATCCATGATTCATCACCAACACAAATATGATGCCAAAACTGCTTTTGACAGCTTAGAGAAGGCATTTTGAAAGTGCACTCGGCAAAAAAGTCCTCCTAGCATATGATTTTGGTGATAGTGAAAGGTGATTTCCACAGACACAAACCAAAGTACCTGGAGTAGATGTACCCACAGCCACATCTCTCATCAACATAATCCAACTTTAAATCTTTGCCTTAGCAGTGGCAAGGCACTGACTAGGAGATACACACCTCTGAGGTCTAGAGGCTGAAGGAACAGAAGGCTGAGAGACCACAATGGCTTATTTCAAAGACCAATGCACAACTGTTTGTCAGTCTTGATTGAGAAAGGCAGTTAAAATTACAGCATGCTAGAAAGTTCAAAGTAACTTAAATTAGTTCATGAGTTAGCCAGTCAGTAGAAGTTGTATCAGTTTATAAGCTATAGGTAAACTGGGGATAATGCCACACACAAGTGTTGCCAAAGCTTACCAAATTACTCATGAACAGGCTCTGTAAGTCTGCAGTCTGTAATGTGCCTTGAAATTAAAATAAAAACTTCATATTTTAAAAGACATTTGCTAGTGAGATACTTGACCAATTGCTAACCAACAGTCCCGAAAGGTCCATTTTCCCAGTTCTTTGGTTAAATAAGACTAATTGCAAATACAACTCAGTTCTTGGAAACTGAAGCACAAGTAGCAATTACTGGTTTAACAAATTCTAGAGGATAGAAACATATTCCAATTGAAGTCAAATACAAAGTTTCATTAGCCAAAGTTCCAACCACTTCACATTGAAGAGCCAAACCATTTCAGCCTTACTGAAAACAATTACAAAATTAATCTTAAATGTTTCAGATTAAAATCTCAACAGTGAAAGTAGGTTTGAAGGAGAGGAAGGACCAAGTATCTTGCTCTATATATTTATAAATACTCTATGGACACATACAGAGTTATACATACACACAACTGTAACATTTAGGGTAGAGGGATGAAGGCATGGTATATCGTACTTAGATACTGTAAGCAGGAATGATAAAGCTGTTCTGAACAAACTTTAAAACAAGACTCATAGGCTGCATGCCTGTGAAGTAGCAAAATGGAATTGACTATCAAATTATTGAAGGGTTTTGGTGACATCTTCCCCCTCCCCAAAACCAGGTGACATCTTTAGGAAAATAGTTCATTTTGGGTTTGGTTCTAAGCAGTTATGAAGATCCTGTGTGGAAAAAAAACCACCACAAAGTACATCAAACTTTCAGATAGAAGGTAACTAGAGACAGTAACCCTAAGTTGTACTGACTATGAAATGGAAGGAATAAGCATGGCTAAGCAGAGAGAGCTACTACTTTCTAAGGTGTTTGGGTTTTGGTGGTTTTTTTTGGGTTTTTTGTTTGTTTGTTTGTTTGTTTTTTACAGAACCTTCTGGGAAAGAAGTGTATAAGGACTGCTACTCTAACAAAAATCCATACAAGTTCTAGAACCAGAAATCATGCAGCAAGTTACCACAGCGCTGTGTTCACACTTGCAAATCTCAGTAAGGCAAGACTTACCTTAAGTGCAACAGCAATACAGATGTACTGCTTTCAAGACCTAAGCTAACAATTCCAGGTGGCCAGAGGCACGTGGATTTATCAGCAGGGGTCAGCAGAATTGCATCTGTACCTCATGCCATAACTGTGCTCTGTACCCTAGGTATAACTACAAGCGACTGAGCTGCACAAATGTCAGGAAGCCTGGTAAGAGACCAATCTCATTACATCTGAGGCTTTTTTTAAGTGACCTGTAAAGTAACACGATCTTAGAAAAAATGGGTGCAAAGTGATTACTAAAGTAATCAAGTGATCCAGTTAATGACCAGCAATACCATGAACCACCAGCAACATGTGATGCTTGCAAGAACCCCTGTAGAACCAAACACATCATCCAAAGTGTAAACTAGTAGAAACCCTGTACTCAAACATACTGTTTCTAAATAAACTTCCACAGCTGATTCGTTTTACATCAAATTAAAGAAATGTGCACAAGTAGCAAATTTCAACTTTAAAAAGCAAACAAGCTCTCAGCCAGCAACTCGTGACCAGTGACAGACCTCAAGGAAACAGAATGAAGCTGAGTTGGAGGAGGTTTAGATTAGATATTAGGAAAAAGTTTTTCACCCAGAGGGTGGCTGAGCACTGGAACAGGCTCCCCAGGGAGTTGTCACATCACCAAGCCTGAGAGAGTTCAAGAAGCATTTGGACAACCCTCTTTTGTGAGCTCAGGAAACAATCTATTTGGCAAACAGAAGCTCAGGAGAATTTCTCATGTGAGGAGAAATGGAACTGTATCTTCAAAATGACAAGATGATTCTCCCTAGAGGGTTCCTTGTTTGCTTGTTACTTGTTTGCTCTTCCAAGGCAGGACCTGTCTGCTTTGAAGACATTCCTTATCATAATTTCTGCTACCCCTCTCTACTAAAGAAGCACTTGCTAAGGCACTGTTTTGCTCTAGCCCAAAATCTAGATTTAGAGATACCCAAAACTAGTGACTTGAAATATACACAAAAACTATGCAGTAAATGCTAATTTTTAATCTCAAGTATGAACAAAAATAAGTGTCTTCTGAATTTCAATATGCCATATTTTTTCAGTGACAAAGTTCTGTGTCACTGAAGCTTCTCAGTTTAGTTATCTCATCTACAGGACTTTTTAAGGTCATGCTACCAAAAAAACCTGTTATGTTTAAAATGCAGACATCAGAACAAAGTCACATGAACAGAAAGCTCTTTATATCAGAACAGCTAAGAAAAATATTTACATCTGCTGAGTTATTAGGAAAAAAGTCCATACTCAAATAGGCAGTCTATGCACACAATAATACACAACCGCAAAGTGAATCAACATCAAAGCCAAAACCAAAGACATTCAGAATGGTCTGGGTGCTGCCAGGATAGTCTGTGCCCATGACAGCACTGCATGCTCACTGGTGCCACAGTAACGATTACTGTAATCACAGCTGAGGATTTTATAGTGTCATTTGAGAGATTCAGAACAACATGGTAAACATTAGGAAGCAATTGTTTCCAAATCCACATCACTGCATTCACTCAGAACTTTTAGGAGTAATTTGGTAGGTAATTTGTGTCCATACTACACAGCTTTTGGTAAGGAGGACAGTGGTGGACTTAAATGACATTCCACACCACTCCACTCTGAACTGAACTATTAAGAGAGACTGAGAAGTCATCAAAAAACAACTTCTCTACCACTAGTAAAGCATGACAGAAATACTAGCACCATTGCCTGTTCTCTACCTTTATACTGTAAGTACTGAAATTATTCTGCATTGCTTATATTTAGCTACAGATTTTTCAGTAGCAATTTAGTCAGGTCTCCTCAATTTTTTTCCACTCTTGTGAATTTTTGTGCTATGTAAAGTACCACTCAGCTATACAAGAATGTGTCAAATCCTGTTTCTCCCTCAAGACAAGGATGTTTGAGGCATCGATATCCAGGTATCAAATTACAGATGAAGCCACACTCTCTAACAGAGGATCTCTGTGGCAAGCACCAGCTACAGCTCCCAAGTCCCGTAAATCGGGCCAAAGCCAGGCTTACTCCTCAGCAAAGCACAGAGCACAATGGCAATTCCAAACAGCATTCCTCCCAACGCGCCGAGTCGCGGCCCCCCGCCAGAGCGCCTTCCCCGCGTCGCCGGGAACCGGCAGAGGGGACGGCGGCGCCGGTCGCTGCCCACGAGAGCGGTCCCGGTCGAGGGAAGCTCGCCAGCGGCCCCCAAGGCTCTACCGAGCGGCCCCTCCGNCTCCTCCGCCCTGCCCTGCCGTGCTGCCGGTGACCCCTGGGAGGGGGGTCTGCCCTGCCCTGCCCTGCCGGAGGAAGCGGCGATAGCGGCGCCTGCGGAACGTGAGCGAAGCTGTGGGCGAGGGGCGGCGAGAGGGGCGTGCGGTGCTGCGCGGTGCTGTGCCCAGCTACTGCGGGGTGCTGTTAAAAGGCGCCGCCCGCCAAGGGAGGGGACCCTGTTCGAGAGCTCTTTTTCTTGGAACGAGGGTTAAAATACTGCTCTTTGATGTAGGGGTTTTATTTTCGTCAATTTTATGTTCTTTGTAGGTGGTGTTATAGGGTTTTTAAAAAGAGGTCAATCTGGCATTGCAATTCCATAACTTAATTGGCAAAACTTATCTGTATTTGCTTGTTGGAAAGTGCCGTGATATTAATTTTAAAACACCTAAATAGATGTTTATTTTGAGAATATATAATAATATCATTGCCTATCACTACACCTATTGTAAATACTAGAAGGTGTGGCAAGTAAAGTCTCTTAAACAGTATTTATATTTTCGTTTTAGGTATGCTTTTAAAGTTTAATTAATCACTCCATTAGCACTGGTAAGTGTTGCAACTAGGATGCAAACTGCTGAAAGAGGATCTAAATTTTTCAAAAGCACATTTGATGGGGATGTAGTGGAGCTCATAAATGCTGTATTGCCACTGCTGCTAATAATTTTTTAGAAGTCAGGCATGATTGTTCCTATGAAATGAAGCAACCAGAACAAGCAATTAGCTTCTGGAAATAGTTTCAGTGACCTCTTGTCACAAAGTAATAGTAATAATAGTAAGATTTGATCTCAGATTTGGGAAGACCTGTATATGTGGGCATATTCAGATTGGTATACACACAAATAACAAATCTGTAGTTTTAGGAAGCAAAATTATATAGCTCAAACAAATTACTCTTATGGAATTCCACAGAGGTTCAATTATTCAACAATTTCAACAAATTCTTGTTCTCTAAGTTTTCATAGTACCATTCTCAAATCAAAATTAATGACTTTGGTTGTACACCGAGTTTTAAAGGAACGAAAATCCCTCCAACAACCCAGGAGCACAGCTTTTTTATATTGCTGTCCTGCATCCTGTATATTCTTCTTTTATGTGCTTGCACTCATCTTTTCCAAGCTGCCAAACCTCTTGGGAAGACCAAAACACTGTGTCTTAAACCTCTGATGTAACTGATAATCTTAGTGAAAGGAGAGTGTGAAGGGGATGACACAGAAAATAAAATATTATTGGGATAAAATTTCATGTTATTTGCCTGACTGTGGTAGCCAAATACATATTTTAGTGGTGTCTGGTGAGCAAAAGAACAGCTGTCAGGTTCGGGAGACCTGCTTGTATCTCCATAGCTGAACTTAAGGATGGAACACACAGACATTGCACTGTCACAAAGCAGCAATTTTACAAGCAGAGAAACAGACTGCTCTTTTCTTTTTAACCATCTGGTGTAATGACTTCTTTCAGGAGTGTTCGTTGAAAGGCAGAGATAATTATTCAACTGAGCAATAGGAAAAAGAATGGGATAATTGCTATGAATGCATGTATCAGTCAATAACTGAGAGTAACTTCTACTTGTCAAAGAATGCTGGGTAGTATATGGATAATTGTTGTTACAACTCCAGTTATAGAGTCCCTTTAATTTCCAGCAGATTCAAGGATCACAAACAACTGCCCAGTAAAAACAAGCCAGAAAACAATCCTACGT